ATTATCACTGTGGGCAACACCATAGCATAGAGGTGTGCAAGGTTGAGTCAGCGTAGCATGTTAAAGTGCAGAAGCAGCATTTTGTTTGCGCCTTTCTTACAAACATGTTGAATGCACATGGAGCAAAGACAGTGTGTAGCTGTACGTATTCTACTCAATAATAAGGTTTTAATAAAATATAAAGTTGAATTAGGGTATGATATGTGAGTGTATAGGAGGAGTCTTTTTCTCCATGTCATTCCAGTTGGAGCAATCATACGTTTCTTTGTGTCTGCTTGGTCATCATGTCATGGAACAATATGATTGCTAAAAGTCAAAAACCAAGTTACAATTAAAGCCAAAATAATTGGACGATGTGTGAAGGTCACGTACTATGATTTGTTTTTGTTACATATGTATCAATAATGAAGTACTTTTTCTTTACTTCAACTCAGCACAAAAACTTTAGAAACTCATCTGACAAATTTTGTGAGCATTGAGTTGGGTCCCTTATCAAAAAGATCATTCCATCTCCATTTCTTCACCATCACTCTGGGCTTCGTTACTCAAATATTATACGGAGATGAACCGAAGCCATATGTTATTGTCACCACTTCACTTCTAAATTCACCTCAAATAAATGCATTCCATGACCTAAAGCTTCACCAAAAAACCAAAATAGTAATTAAATTTGCTCTCGTTGAGAGTCGAACTCAAGACCTCCCGCTTACTAAACGGGTGCTCTAACCAACTGAGCTACGAGAGCTTATTGATAAAAGTGTCACTAAATATTAAATATTTTATATATTTAAAGATAAAAGTATAAGTTTCGCTATCTTGTTGGTTTCTATGCAGGAAAAAAAAAAATGTTTGGAATACATAGTTGGATTGGACAACCTTCTAAGACACATAGGTATTAGGAAACCAAATAGATTCCTATAAGAGCCAAATAAAAATCTTAACTATTCAATGCAATAATCCTTATGACAAATATTAACTAATAAAAATAAAGTTTACAATATGCAGAAACCATGTGCACAGGATAATTTTTTTTAACCATCTCAACTTTTTCTTGTCATTTTCACACAAAGAGATTATCATGTCTTTTTATTTCTTTCAATTAGAATAAAAAATTTAGAAATTGGATATATTCGAATAGAAGAATGATTTTGTAGAGGCTTTTATTTATTTATATGTATATCTTAGAATTTTTGAGTTTGGACATAATTTTATTTTGTAAAATCATCTTTAAATAAGAATGATATTAAAAATCTCACACAAAATAAAAATATAATTAAATTATATATATATATATATATATATATAAATAAATAAGATGTAAATATCATTTTACAAATTGATTTTATATAATTGATTTGGATTTATATTTATTTTCTAATATGATATCATAATTATTTTTAAAAATTTTGTTGGGCAATTTGTATTATTACTATTATGCCGTTTCGAACAACCCTACTAAAACATATTGTCAATGTGAAGGAATGAGTTAAAAATATCATATAAATTAGAGAGATAACTAGTTTGAAGGATTAAGTTAGACTTAATTTTTTTCTATATAAATAATATCAGAGTTTATTTTAATTTAATTTGTATTGATGTGATATAAAAATCACTGGTATATTATAATATATAAATGAAGTATAAATTAAAAAAAATTATAAGATTGAATTAGACTAACTCAATTTAAATATACTTCAACTTAATTATAACTACCATACTAATTATATATAGACTATAGAATAATCAACTTCATTACATTTGACTTACTAAAAATTGAATTGGATAGAATTAAATCTTAAGAAATTATTATTTTTATTGAAATAATTATTGATATGAAAGAAAAAATAATTGTCGTGTCTGAAAATTAAAATTATAGTAAATTATAATGATCTCCCCTAATGTTTATCACTATTACACTCGTACTTTTGCCTTTTAAAATATATTTTAACCTCTGGAGTAACTTTTTGAAGTGACATTATTCATTTTAATTTATTTCACCAAAATAAAAAAAGTCATTTTGGATTAACATCTATTAAACTACCTTTAATTTATATAAGTATTCCATAATAATAGTAATAATAATAATAATAATATCTTATTTGATGTCTTACTACTCTTACCCTAGGATCCCTGACACCATACCCTAACATTAGAAGATCTTGTTTTTGATTGAGACATTTTAACAAACATCCTACAAATAAAAATAAAAATTTCTGAATACAAGTTCATACTTCATTTTCTTGAAGTCTTGTCATTAATTTGTTTAACCACTTTTATTTCCAATATAAACTTACACTATTTAATAAAAGACACAAGGACATTTGTAGGATTAAAAAAGGTGTTAGATAATAATAATAATAAAAATGGGTTCAATTATTCATTCCTTCCTAAGAGAACAAACAAACATTCTAATAATGGAGGATGTGTGAAAAGAGATAGATCCCTTCTTAGCTAACCAATTGGCGCATATATTGTCTTTTGTATGGACATATGGAAGAATTTCACAATTTCACATTCCACTTGATAACATAACATGTTTGGAAATAGTTTTAGAGTAGCATGTAAAAATGTCTAAAATATTCAAGTTAGTATTTACAAAGAAAGTTCTACAGAATCATTTGTAATCATTAAATTAAATATGGGATGACAAGATCTCAATCATTAGTGTACGAGGAGTCACTAAATTGTCCAGGAGTTTGTATCATCCAAAAGAGTACCCTGTTTTTCCAAAATTCTAATCTTTTTCATTCTCAAATTGTTTTCCTCACATTTTTACCTTTCCAAAACAAGCTTCTGCGACATGAATACAAAAGCTAAGAAATGGATTCCATACAATGAATATACTGAAATAGATACCAAATGCATTTTAAAATAAATACAAAGAGGACCAAATGTATATCCGTGTGGCATTCAAAATCTCATCTTAATCAAATGATATATATATTTTCTTCAAATTTTGACCCTTTCAGAGCAAATACGAATTGTACACCCACAGTTTATATTTGGACAAATGAAATCTATATTTTTAATGTTAAATATTAGTTATAACATAGGATATTTTAAGGATATCAATAATCTCAATCAATTGTTAATCCAGATGACCATGTTTTTCTGTCTCAATTGTATCTAGTTTTTCATATATCATAGATCCCAATTTTAAAGTAATCGCCATACAAAAATAAAAATATAAATAAATGATTCTGATATCCAAGGTTAATTCTCATATTTCATGGAAATAATTTTGTAAAATTTTTATAAAAATTGCAAAAAATAAGTTTTTATAAATTTAAACAATTTTTTATAAGAAAATTGACAGGAAATAACTAGCTTTAAAGAAATAATTTCGAGCATAATGAGTATATCAAAACAAAAGTACCTTTAAGTAATTCATGTAATAAACTCACACTTTGGATTTAGGATATTTATAATGCAAAAAAATATTAGCACAAATTTATGCGAATAATCTAGTTGACATCTTTCTTAAGATTTCTTATCTTCATAATTGTTTTTTATAACTTTTTGATACCTTTATGCTTGCAAATAACAACTCCTATACCTTTATGAGACCACTGTTTCATGGAAGAAGTTTCATCATGTTATTTGATTTTTTTTTTTAAATGTTATTCAAAGTACATTCATAATAGTCTAAATAATGTATAGGAAATGTTATCACAACCTATATTTGAGTCATGATAAGTTGGTGGGAAAAAAAACGTGATAAACTACAATTTATGAGTAGCATATACAACAAATTAAAAAAAATAATAACTTATATATGAAACAAACTTTAGAAAAATTAGCATGCAATTATAAAAGCTTATGCTTTGTAGTAGAAGTCTAGAAATATACACTAACTATTATGGAAAACATATAAATGTATTGATCACCAAAATTTGGAGCTTAATATCATGAAGTGAATGAGAAACCCTGAAATTATCAATGGATATCAAAATAAGAAAACCAATTTTGCTAGTTCAATTAAAAAGGAAATTTTAAATGATACATTTTCAATAATTATAGACAAAAATTGATTAGAACTTACACCTTAGATGTTTTTGAAGACCTCTTTGAAGATAACATTTGTGGTGGTATTTAGCATTTGTAGCTTCTTTCTTGAACATGAATATATTCAATCCTTTCTTGCTTTGAACTCTAGAAAATATCACATAATTGATCATCACTAAAAACCGGGCTAAGCAAATATAGTCCAACATTAGTTAATAACTAACCCTGAGATCTGTTGATAATCATAACATATGAAACCATCAACAGAAATTGTCTTCTAACAAGTTTGAAAGTCCACTGTGACTTAAAAGACGTAGACAGGCGTAAACAATATTACCAATATTTATTTCTTCTGGCCATTGTTTTTCCTTCTATGACATGATTTGAAAATCACGAAACAATTAATCTAGTCCCATTGCAAAGTCACTATGATTGGTCTAGATTCCTCAATAACATATTTAGATTCCCCACTTTTAATACGATTCTATGATTTGAAAGGCCTTCTTAATATGTTTAGAAATTCAGGGATAAGTTCTCGTCGAGTTTTGAAAAACACGAATATTTCCAAATCAGCTAGTAGTGGTTTAAATTCTGTATAATTAATAATTACATCTCACCATGAAGATGTTTATAATGGGACAAATACGTTGGCATCAGCTATACTAGACATGTATCAGGTGACATATCAATTGAATCTTTCCGCCATCATCAGATAATAGACAAAAAAAGATGAAATTTTGTTAATAATGGTTTTTTTGCATCCTATGAAATCAGAAGCAGACCCTTCAATATGAAAGGTGTATAGTTTTCAATACCTATTCTCCCCTTACTGAAGCAGTCACCCTGCTGTTCTATTTAGGAAAACACAAGTGATTCAGGCGTTTGTGAGCATATGGAAAAATAACTGTTAATAATGGACAACACAAATATACTGGGCAGGGATTACACAAACTGGTATTCGGAAGTTGGGCTGCTTCTGTTAAGAGAATCTCCGGTCATCTCAAATATGTATAATGAGTCATAAAGTAATTGTAATCAGGATGATTGACTCGCAATAGCCTAAGCCAGTTTTCAGCAGCCCGCGACAGAGAATTGGCTTTCTGACATTCAGAAACTCCATCAGGATCCCAGACAGAAATTTTAAACTTGTGTGAGGCTAGCCCGAAGATTGGTAATGATAGCTTTAATATGTCCCTACCTCTTGAACAATAATTATGTAGTCCATCAGTATTTGAACCTGATTCAAAGATTAAACCGTTATAGTTGATGACTATTTACATACATCTAGCATACATAAAAATTAAACAGACAAGAAGACATACTTTGCAAAGCAGTCGACAGGGAATGATATGTCAGAAAGCAGGCACTCAGGCTCTGTAATGTTGGACCAGTAGGTATTCTGTATATTGGGTACCTTTAAAAATACACAGCAACAAATAATTTTAAACTAGTAATTACCATGCGCATTGTCCAACCACAATAATTAGATGACCAATAGGATGAGAAAAACATACCAAGCAAATGAAACCCAACTTGCAGGGGAAAGATCACAGCTCCAGTATGTTTTCAACTCTGGAAATTGTCGTTCAAGATCAGAAATCTGAGTCAAGCAATATGACTTGTTAGGATTAAAAAGAAACATAAGATCTATTTTGGTTCAATTTTTTTCTATAAGCACTAATACAAACAAAGAAGAAAAAGTGAAACAAAATCATTCATAAGCTAAAATTAGCTCATGAAAAGTTAAGTTTACCTTTCCTTTATTTACTTAAAAGTGCTACGAAAAAAATTTATCCAAACAAAACCAAAATCTAATGTGTAAGTCCAACAAAGATAACATCTTGCCTTGGTTGCTAATGGCTCACGATTATAAGGTGACTCATGCTCAAAGAATTCAAATATAAGCTGACCAGGAGGGTTGCAGCTCTCAGTCTCATCACTTGATGAACCCATGAAAGGTTTACCTTGTGAGACCCTTTCCAAAGCATGATTGCTTGCATCCAAAACATTAAGATGATTCCTACTACCATGAACAGTCTTGGCTCCTCTTTCATGACAATAGCCACTGCTGCTGTCACTGCTTGTCTCTCTAGCTGATTCAGAGTCACTTTCTTGACTGGGTTTCCTGGAATAAGATGAAAATTAGAATGACTACAAATGATATTGTGCAAAGTCTTTAAATTCAGTTAAAATGATAAACATGTCCTGGAAATGGGTAGATCATAACATGTGGGAAAAGGGAAAAATGATGTGATTCCTTGTTCTGAACTCCTAGCATTTAAATGGTTGTGTTTGTGAGCATAACACTGGAAGATAGATTTGTATCATATTGAATGTTGTCTAGAACTTGCTAATGTATAGTCGGCAACTAGTAGTAGACATCCATAAGGCTATGAGCATCTTGGACGAAATAGTACAACGCTAAAAAATCTGTTAATAGTACATTTCATAGAGCCGCAGAGGGTGGTGGACAATGAAGTAAATATGATAAAAAAAATCCAATGACTTGTGATGCAACTACACAATATAAGAATAGAGGGATAAGAATATTCACTTTGGCTATCGTATTAAAACAGTTAGCTTGAGTTCATGCAACAAAAAGGATCAAGTTTCAGTGGCTGATATGTTGAGCTCAATTCTTAGGTCTCTTAGAGAATTAGATCACACATTCCGGATGTGCAAATATGTTACAGCTGACCCAACTATCTATAGAATTGTGGACAAGTTGATGTACAGATCATCGACATTGGCAACTTGGCCTAGCAATAAAATTATGTGCAATACATGTATGGCACGTGAGTTCTTAAGCTACTTAATCTTTCCTCCCACTTTATGTGTTATCCTTCAACACCAAGTTATGGGAGAATATCTCTCTACCTTGCCAAAGGCATCTATCTCTATAGCACAATAATCAGAAGCCAAGCCAAAATTATCAATATCTACTTTTATCTATCTATGCAGCCTAGAGACTCCTAAAAGATGGCAAAGTTTTGGTTCTTACTCATATCCAATATGAATACACGCATGGTCCTCCTAGATATGAATGGTATCTAAAAAGTATTCTTTATTTGTAGAAAGACAAACTATCAATTAATATGCTTGGGATATGGCTCCAACAATTAGAATAGGACTAAAATTACATATGACTTTATCTTCAACACAGTAAACTTAATGCTACATTAAATAGTAGGCAAAATAAGCAAATACAGCTGGTAAGATATTAAGAACAAATCAAGCACCAAAATAAGAATAACCAGACAAGGACATCCTGGGTATTAATTTGTGAACCCATTCATCAATTTGTAGATAAAAGAGAAAGTTGCTTTGGTCTCATTCAATTCTACTTCAAGTTGTAAGAAACTAGAAAGAATACTAATGTGATTATTAACAAGACCTCAATCCTTCTTTTTATGTTTATCCTTGCATCAAAGGACTCCAAATAAAACCCTCAAGGTCTTATCAGGTAATTCGAACTACATTTACACATCATGCAGAATAATATGCATTACCAAAACTTCCTTGAAATCTAAAATGAACAATTCCAATTCACCTAGTCATAGCAAAATCAAATTGTAAAAGACAATAATAAAATGCAAGTTAGTTGATCATCAATCAGTGAGAGGTGCATCTATGAACAAAAAGGAAACCAGTCAAACATTTAAGAGGAAAATTTAGTGCCAACATGTTTCACTTAAGCATACCTTAGCCGCGTGGAGGGCTTCGAAGGATCGATATACAGCTGAATGGCAGACAAGGAGACATTATAATACTGTGTTACGGATTCACTCCCATTCAACACTATAGGAACACCGGCCCCATAAGCACTCCATTCCTTGAAAGACTCCCACAAGTCTCCAAGCACAAAGTAAGGATGTAATTCCGCCTCTCTCGTTTTCCATCTCCTGGAGTTAGTCTGCTGATTCCCACACACACAAAATCCACCCAAATAAGCGGAATGTCCTTCGAAACAAACTAAACAAAATTCACACTATACTAGGTTGTTTTGAGACAACTCAATTTAAGGGTTCCCTCAACGCAAGCCATAAATTACAAAACCTAAACGGCATTCAGGATTCGCCTACATTGACTAACCAAAGATCCTAACTATTCATTCATTCACTCACTAAAAAAAAAGGGTCCAATGCTGCTAGTGCACTGAAAATTAAGTAAATTCAACACCTCCACCATGATAACGAGTAACTAGAAAGGAAAAAAATAGCACAAAAAGAAAACAGCGCAATTGAATTGACGCTGATTTTACCTTGGGGAAATATTGGGCGGGAACAAGGGGCGTGATGTGCTCCAACAATCGATCCAAATTGGACATATCCGATGTTGCGCGCGAAGAAATCGAACAATCGGAAGAGGAACCAGGCCTGTTTTCCGAGGAAGTTCTAGACAGCGACGACCTTTGCTGCTCCTGCTTCTCTCTGTGTTTTCGCAACGGCGGCGGACTGTAGAAGCGGTTCTCACCGAGATGGCGATTGCGGTTGCGGCTTCCGCCTGCGATGGCGGCGCCACCAGTGGCCGACATTGAGGCGGTGGTTGGCGAGACGATGGAGATTGGGAGGAGGAAACGACGACGTTGGGTTTAGGTTAAGTTTTGAAAGTGGAGGAAGAGAAGAGAGTGCGAATGTGAACTGCGAAGGGTTTTATTATTTAGTGTCTCCAAGTGATTGCGCACTCCACGCTGAGGTTTTCTTCGTCGATTTAACTCTCCACTTCAACTCATTACTATTACTTTATTTTATTTTATTATTCTTATCATATAAATAAATACCTCTATTTTTCATTTTATTTACTTTATACTACTACACATAAATTTTTAACCTAACACATAGGTTAAGAATAATAATAATAAATATATTGCATTTATTAAAGTAACCATTGACAAAATTAATGAATATTTTACCTTTATCACATTCAAGGTTAAAATTTATGTACGGATAATGACAATGTAAGATTATATTCCACTTTAATCACACCATTTATGACTTTTGATGAATTTTCATAAAACTTGTTAAATATTTATTTCGAGTACGTAGACCATTTCTGATAATCTTCTAAGAACATTTTCATTTCCAAAATATACCAAGTTTATAATTTGTGGATTCCTCAGTTGCAGACAATTCTGTAATTTGACAGTTACCCGTTCCTACTCAACCACACTTGTCTTGACATGTGAACAGTCATAATATGTGAACACAAGATGCTTTGTTCCATTCTCAGATTCTTTTCTGATATTTCAAGCCCCAATATCCCTTTAAACGAAAGAAAAAAAGAAGATAACCTAATGATTCATTTCATGCGTTGGTCATTTTCTACTTGAATTTTGTGCAATTAAATGCTTGCATAAGAAATATTTTCTTTTCGTAATTAATTCGGTAATGGATAAGGACTTCAAATATTTTGTATTAATAATTAGGTAAGATTTGATTGTTTTTGAACGTTAATTTTTCAGTTCATATTCCAAAAGTTAAATTAGTTAGTTTAGATATAGATACGAACGAAGATTCCTTTTTTTTTTTTTATTCCTTCAGATTTTATGTTATTTGTTTGCAAAGTGATTGGTGAGTTCGTTAGGTTCGGGTGTTTGGGATTGGGTGTCAGTCCTATTATTTCAGAAAAACTAAAAAATATTTAAAAGTTATCAGATAATTGTAAGTATAAAGTTGCGTTGAAAAATCAAAAAGTTATTTTTAATAATCATAAAAATTATCTACATTGACCCAGATTAATTAATAAATTAGTTCCTCTAAGTTTTTATAATAAGATTTAAACACATTTTTAATATTGTAAATATAAGAATAAATTTTATTTAAAAAGAATAATTATTTAAATATAAAATTTATAAATTTATTGATCTAATTAAATTTATTTATTATTTATATATAAAAAATAAATTTATTTAATATAATACAATTATTATTTTTTATTTATCTCTCTCTTTTATTATCAGTTATTTTTTTATTCTTTTGTCAGTTATTTATCTCTCTTCTATTATTTATTTATTTATTTATTTTATTATTCTTTTTTTCTTTTAGTACTAATTTTTCATTTTTCCTTTTTTTTATTCTATCTTTTTTCTTTTTATAATTCAAAATACTATATTAAAATTTGCTAAAATAGGTTTTTTATTATTTCTAAAAAACAAAAATATTTAAATTATTCAAAAATATTATTATTTAATATAATATATTTACAAAAATATTATATGATAAATTTAAGGTATTATAAATATTATTGTTATATTATAATTATTAAAAAAATTAAATATTCATTTTAAAATAGTTTTTTAATAAATATTCATTTTAAAATTATATAATATGACTAATTATTATAACTCAATCTAATTATAATTTGATTAAATTATTAAATAAAAATATATTTAATTAATAAATATTTAATATTTTTTAATTAGATAAATAATTAATTTATTTGAAAAAATAATTTTAAATTAAACGTCATTGTAAATATATATTTTTATTATAATAAATTAAACTATTTAATGTTATCATAATTTTAAATAATTAGTTGATACTCTTTAGTTTAAATAATAATTTTAAAAAATTTATTTTAACATATTTTTTTATTAAATTTCAATATAATTATTTTAATAAAAAATAATAAGTGGAAGGGAAAAGAGAGAAAAATAATAGACATGGACTAGAAAAGAGAAAAGAAAATAATGAATACAGAGAAAAAAATATAAAAAATTGCGAAATGAGAGAAAAAAATATTGTATATAAAAATAAAAAATAAATATATATAAATAAGTAAATAAATTGACAACAATTTTATTTATATAATTTTTTTAAAAATATTTTATTTGTAGAATTATTCATAAATATATTATAATTATTATACAAATATTTATTAATTTTAAATATATAATATTTTTTGATGGTCCACTTTTTATCCATTATTATTAACTATGTTTATTTTAAAATTAAAAATTAAAAATATTAATTAATAAAATTAAGATAAAAACACATTTTAAATGAAGAGACTTATATTCTTCTTAGCACATAATTTAATTAAGTAACGTATTAATTATTTAATATTAATAAGAAAAAAATATTGAACTTTTTAGGTTACATATAATTTTAATATATTATAATTATTATTTCTAAAAATATAAAATATATTTTAATATTTTTTTCTTTAAAGATAAAGTTATTTTTTATAACATTAAAAAATAAATGATTTTACATTAATATTATAATTAATATAGAGAAAATAAATTATAAGCATGTAAATGAATTATAATCATTTTTAACAAAAATTAAGATGATAAAAGTAAATTTTGAATGAAAAAAATATAAATAATATATAGAAATATCTTATTTATATTAAGTAAATAACATTTTATTCAATTAAATTACGTGGTTAAGAAAAAATAATTATCTTTATTTAAAATATATCTCTTTACCTTATAATCACATAATTAATATTGTTTATATTTTGTGTAAAATTAACTATAGTTTATGATATGGACTATAAAAGGAATAATTAGAAAATGTCGGATATTTAAAAGTAATACATATTTTCGCAGAGTAGGAACCAAATCGTATTAAAACTTTACAAGAATTGGGTAAGTTAGATTTACTGTTAATACACACGACCAATATTATATGTCACATTGTTCTTCTCTATTTGACATAGCAAATTGCACATGATTTGAATGATATTGTAGAGTGATAAAATGTTTATTCATGAAACTTTTACTTTATTAAATACATTTGTTTATGACAAATTTTAATTTGATGATTTAGAATTTTCAGTACATACCAATTGATGGTGACATAGACATTCATTTAAAGTGTACTAAAAATGCATTGATTATTTTTTCCTTACAAAACTTTATTAATTTTGTTCAGTACATCATGGATCACGTGCTATAGTTTTTTAATTTATGGTTTTGATAGTGTACACATTCAACAATGTGAATCTCTTATACACCATAGTAGAACTCAATGATCTGAACAATAATTATTTTGACAGATTACTCTATTTGGAATCATTATAAAAATTTCACGTGTTTTTATTATCGTAAACTTAATCATTATATATTATTTATTTTTCATCTTTATAAAAATCGAAATTAGTATTTTCATAAAATGCGTGAATTTGGTTAAACTATTTTTTTCCCCCTCATTTTCAATCATCTCAGATTTAAAATAACTATTTTTAGGTCTTAATACTTATTTTAAAATAAATAAATAAATAATTATTTTGTGAAATTTAAAATTATATTTAAGTACCACTAACATTATGTAAAAACATTAATATATATTAGTAGGAATGATGAATTAATTTTTCTTTCACTACATAGTTAATTGGTGTCATATGATATAAGGACCAGTGATTTTAATTTGAAAGAGATTAAAATTGAAGAATTTTTATTGTAAAGATTAAAATTAAAACTCACCCATTTAATGATGACTTAAAAATATATCTGAACCTCCTTTATATATTATTCTTTAGAGTATAAAATTTGTTTTGCGTATCTATAAAGTCTCCAAAATATTAAATAATTTTTTTCAAAAAAATTTAGTATCATTTTTGTCTTTTTCTTTTTTAATTTAAATATATTATTTGTGCCTCTTTAAAATTGAAACATATTTTTTAAGTCATTACTAGTAATAGCAATAGTAAAACCACTTTAAATTGTAAAATTTAAAACCACCATCCAACAATTTTTTTGGGACTCAGATTTTAAAAAATTATATAAAATCTCTTTTTATGCAGCTGCTAATACATAAATAATTTCTTATCTTAAATTCTTAAATTAAGTCTGACATAAGTGTTTTCCTTTTTTTTAAGGATTTGATTTCTCTACAATTAGATTGTTCACCAATAAGGATCTTCTGACAAATAACTGATCAATTGAAGTTATACATTGAATGATAAAATAGTTGTCTTATTTTGAACGAATAATTATTAACCTTTTTTCTAGTTTTGAAAAAATCTTATAAAGATAAGCAATTATTTCCCCTGAAAAGGGCTCTGCATAAAAGATTACATCACATTTGGGGTTCCAACAAGTGCTGTTTGAAACGGATTGCAAAGTTATTTTGGGTACCTGGACGAAAAGGGTAGAAGGATTCAGAAGCTACAAACATTGCTGATTGCAGACTAGAAGTACCCTCTTGTTTAGAAGGATCATACTGTCTCATGTGAAAGCTACTTCCAACAATGCTGAACATAGTTTAGTTACATTTGATTTTTATTTACTAAGAAATGAAACATATTAATCTATAAGATGGAGCACGTTCCTCATCAGTTTCCTTCTGTCATTGATGCTGATGTAATGATTCTCATAGTATCATCCAATTCATTCTTAAAATAAACACAAAAATGAAAAACAATTTCAGCTGATGCTTTCCTTTATTATAATTTATTGATGAAGTGAGATACAAAGATATCAACTCCCACAAGTCTGAAGCCAAAGAAAATAAGAAATAAAACATTCTCGCATTACAAGCCAATTTAACTTAACCAAACACTCCAGAAAGAAAACTCTTGCATTGT